CGTAAAAGTCTGTGTAAGAATTTTTACTGGACTCTACTTTTAGCAAACGCCATACAGATACATCAGTTAAAACATGTCTGCAGGGTCTAGAGAGGTGGCTTAATGGTTAAGAGCATTGGCAGCTCTTCCAAAAGGCCTGAGTTTGATTTCCAGTTCCTTCCTACATGGTAGCTCACAACCATCTGAAACTCCAATTCCAGGGGCTCTGATACCTTCCCTTGACCTCTGCAGGTACTGGTGTGCAGATGGTACACAGAAATACCTATAGGTCCAACATTCATACACATAATAATAAAATAAATCTAAACCCAAACCAAAACAAAAACACATCTGTAAGACTTCAAAAAACAGTGCATAGTGTATATGGAGACTGGGGTGGAATTTTATTGGTTGTATTAAATTGGTTTAGTCTAGGCACTAATTTCTTCGTATCTCAATGTAGGGTCTACCACAGTGAGTATCTGGCTGTGGGTATCAGTTGTCTTCAGAAACCTAAGGGAGCAAACAGAATTTAAGTGAGAAGGCGAAACAATCTAAACTTTTGATAACCTGGGGAATCCACAGCAAGCACATTGTTGTAGAAATGTCTGGGAATTGATTTGCTTTTATCTCACTTTTAAAAGTTGGGAAGTTCATGAGATAGTGCAAACAAAATGTGCTCGATCCCGGGAGTCTCACTGTGGACACGCTCTGCCCCTCATTCCTGACCCCACATGTGCATGCTTTCTGAATTGGTGAGTGTGACCATGTCACCGTTTTGAAGGTGGTTAATGTATAAAACAGCTGAAATATCCTCATCACAACAGGGACAGAAGGTATATCTGTTTCCCACGCTTTCTTGTCTTGGGTGATATCAGCTACTGCACATCCAGTGAACTCACTGAACTTTCTAGTCCCTGTAAATACTTCTGCGTGCGAGGGGAACTGTTTCTTCTTACTAATTTTTATTAAGACCTTTCTCCTAATCTTGTTTTTTTTTCTTTAATTTAAGTTCTAAATATTTTCCCTGTTTTCTGCACCAGGGAAAACATTTCTGTTCCATGAACTGCCCTTCTTATTCTCTTACCTTCAACTGCCCTTCTTCATCTTTCTATCTGTAAACACGTACTAAGTTCTTCAAAGCTGTATAAAACGCATGCAGTTTGTATTCTCCCTTTCCCATGAGGGATGGTCTATTCAGGTAAAGCAGCTTGTATCACCCCTACCCCCGGAAATAGTACTGGACACTTCTAGAGCAAAACCTACAAAAGATACAATCTGTTATCCACCATTAAGATTTAAGATATAAAGATTAATTTTCACTAGTGTGATAAGGTTTACAGTTTGAAGATCACTGCTTCAGCGTCTGGTCCATGTTAACCCCATGAATCTGACAGCACAGATGTTGATATTTCCAACTCACTGGCAAGACAGCCCAGCTGGCCACGGCCACGTGGTTCATTCAGAACAGAGGCTCTGGAGACCTGGAGATTGACTGCGCCACCCACTTATCAATTTTTTTTTCTTCTCGAGTTCTTCACCCCAAGTAAAATAGTTTTGCAAAAACATTTCCTCTTTGTGAATGAATGAATATGTGAGGAATGGGATTTACGAGGGAATTAATGCCTCTACACACAGCCTTTTTTAAAAAAGGATTGTTTCCACTCCTGCATACACTGTGGACAGATGGGTTCCAACCTCCCCTTGGGCCTCCCCAGGCTCTAGTCATCGTAGTTCTACTTCCAGGTGGCTTCTCTTGTCTTTTTCGTCTGTCTTGTTTCACTTAACGTGGTGTTTTGAAGGTCCGTCCTTGATTGCAAATGACAGCATCTCATTACTGTTTATAAATGGGTACCGCTCCACTGGGATTCACAGTCAGAGCACATCTGCTCATCGTGTCCTCGGATTCTCTCTGTGAGACGATTCCTTCTCTACACAAGTGTTAGGTTCTTAGCCACCGCTGTGACAAGAACAGCCTGGCAAAAGCAACTTACAGGACAAAGTTCATTCCGGCTCCAGGTTTAGGGGTACAACACAGTGGGAAATTCAAAGCAGCAGGGCCATGTAGCGGTTGGACACATCACAGCCACAATCACTGTGAGTGTGAAGTCGGCACACAGACCAGTGTCCCTTTACTTTCCTCTTTTTCACACCGTCCAAGCAATTGTGCCAACCACAAGAGGTGGGTCTTCCAACCTTAGCCAAGGAAATCAAGATAATAGGTGATGTCCAGAGGTCCATATCCTAGGTCATTCTAGAGTCTGCCAACTTGACAATTCACTCTAGCCACACAAGACAGTTCAAGCTCCTGCCCCTTATATTGGCCGCTCCCACTCAGCATTTATAGAAGAAATATTTTATTTACATGCGCTAAGACTCTCTACTCTTTAGGAACCTTCCTTTCTTTCTGCCTCTCTAGCAGACATGCACTGCCATTCTCTCTCTTTCAGATCAATTACAAAAGTCTCTTCTGTCTCTCATGCTCCCTTAGTGACCGTGTGAAGCTTCTGCCCCACACAAACGTGGACATGGACGGACCGCAATGCTTTCATCCCTAAACTAGATGTGGTCATTCTATAATTTAATTTCAAAGTGGCATTGGATACAAACAGCCAGATACTTGGCAGTAGCGATCTTCACTGTTCATCGTCACAATTTATGATGAGGGATCAAGTCAATTTTATTAACTTTTGTCCATCCTGTCTTAAATCATCCTTGGAAATGCTTGTTTCTAGCATGTAAAAAAAAAATAACTAAAACTCTGTTTGAATCAAGGTGTTATAAAGTAAGCCCTTTGTATTTTAAATTTTGAATGCTATTGTTATGGATGCCTTGGCATGAATTCACGAACACACTGGTCTAGTAAATTACTTTCTTCTCTTGGGACTCAGAGACACACCCCCCCCCACTCTCCTGAGATTCCTCCATCCTGACTTTTGCTCTGTTTGACTGCCACGGCCTATCACTTAGACAAGTGTTCCTTGAGTCCTTGTTTTGGACTTTTGACTTGTCATTGGCATCTTCTAAGTATCGACATTGGTTCATCTAGCTGGTACAAGCAGGTGAATCTAGGGACCTCAGGTATCCAGGCAGCTTAACTTTGGCATAGAAAAAGAAGTAGTGTATATTTCAAGATGCTGTCCACAAAGAAGCAATGTAATCCCAGGTTTGGGTTATGACCCAGGACATTGATAGTTAAGGATAGAGATGACTCACGTATAAGTAATGACACACAAAGTTAGGTACAGACTTTACCCCTAGAACAAACAGACCAAGAACAGAATACTTGGATACCTCACAGAATGTCCTAAAATTATGTGTTCTTTCAGCTCAGCCCCCTGCCCCTGCCTCTACTCCTGCCTGCGGCTCCTTGTCTTACTCAGTTAAAGGCAGCACAATCCACTCACCGACTAGCTGGGAAATTAAAGCAAGCAAGGTTTCCCCCACCTGTAATCTTATCTCTCAAATATGCTGTCACTCGGCAACCTCTTTCCAATTCCATCGTGAATGCCCTAGCATAGAACACACTCGGCACACTCCGCACACTCCGCCATCTTCTGGATTAGTTCCTTGTCACCACTCCATATTTCAGTAAGATTGATCTTTTCAAGGAGCAAATCCGAACTTTAGTATTGCCAGAGTTCTTCTCTGACTTAAAGCCAGCTGTCTATGCCGCCCCTCTCACCAGTCAGGCATTCCTCTCAGGACAAATACGCTTCATTTTACTGAGGGGCATCATCGCTGCTCTTGCCTCCTGGGCACATGTGTGCCATTCCAAAGCTAGAATGCCCCCTCCCCCGTCTCCTTCCTCTGCCTAACCACCACTCCCTTCACAGTTTACCTTCAGATTTTCAGTCCCTCCCAGACTGTTTCCAGGAGCCCACGTCTGCTCTTTGTGCCCCCCCCATATCTGCCCTCAGGGAGTCTTCAGCTTCTCTAATGATAATGGTTGGCTACTTAATTTGTCTCGATGGTAAAATTTGTCCTATCCCCTGCCCCATAAGAATGTTAGAATTTTTGTTCATTCTTGCTTCTACTTATCTGACATTCTATCGCTAGGTTCTAGTCAGGGAGGATCAATATAATGCTTAGAAATAACCAAGGAGCTTTGAGAATGAGTGGATGGAGGCATGAATTAATAAAATTGTCTCCAGGATGTAGAGATTAGAGGGGGGGCGGTGCTGTACAAAAATGTTGGATGACCAAGGGCAATTAGGATCTTTGTTAGGCACAGTGGGTGGGGGCTGTTGGAAACTTGCTACTTTTCAATTTCTTAAAATAGATATGTGTGTGTGTGGAGGGTAAGGTCACTGTTATGCTGTATTGAGACTTCGAAATTCACTGTTTAGGCTAGACTAGCCAACCAGCAAGCTCAGGATACTCCTGTCTCCTGTCCACCACCACTTGGATTACAGCTAAGCATTAGGAAACTTAAAAATAATCTTTTCTCCTGGCCCTGACGCTTCATTTGCAACCTAGTATATAATATCTCTAAAGTTAAAACCTACGAGCTAGTTTGGTTCAAAATTCTGCTGACCGTGGGCCTCACGTTAAAGACAGGCCTTATGTGGCCCAGAACTTGCTGGCACACTCGTTTCGAATGAACTATTCCAGTCTCCCTAGTGCTGCTTAAGCAGCAGCCTGCCTCCTAGCCAATTCTCCAGGCAGGAGCCCAGAGCATCATTAAAAGGCACAGCGGGAGGCTACAGGGGGTGGAGAAGCCGATTATCCGCTTTGTTGTAAAAACCAGAAAAAGTGAGCAAAACTGGAAAGTGGTTAATCCTTCTGGGAATTCAGGCTAACCGGCCAGGAATTAACCTTGACAGTAATTAGGCCGTCAATGACCCTTTCAGAAAATGTTCAAAGACTTCAGCTTTGTTTAGAGAACTTGTGTGGGTAGAACCAGCTGCTTGCACAAAGAACAGCATAAAGCCCAGCTGCTCCGCAGCACGTTCAGGACCAGATCTCCGGCAGCGGGGAGCAGGGTGCAAGGCAGCGGGGTCTCCGGTCTTTTCTGCAGCATGGGGAAGCACAGGCTGCCACACCCGAGACTGACCATGCTGCTGCTGCTGCTGCTGCTGACCCCGCCCACAGACGCCTCCGAAACAAAAAAGCCGTGAGTTCCACACACCGCGAGAAGCTTGACTGTAGGGTCTTGGGCTTATTCGTTCCTTTCCTATACAATCATCTCCTTCTTTCTCGCCTCTGAGGTTCCTTTCATCTCTGAGATTTCCCAGATCCCCTTCATTCACTCAGCCTTTATCATTTCTCCTAAACTCTCTGGATTTTGCAGTATCCAAATTCCCCAATGATGTGACGCACCACCTTTTTGGATGCTCGTGTTAAAAGTCGGTCTTCAGAACCCGGAGACCGTGTGGCTCTGTTGAGACTTTGTCCTTCGTGTCCTTTACATTCCTCAGATAAAATATGACACACCTGTCCCCAGTGGCGCTTTGTCCGGGGATTTACATATCCCTAGGAAAGGTTCCCCATGCTGATGCTGAGAAGACTTCTGTACAAATCAGCTGGTGATGAAAGTCTGTGTTTCAAAGAAACGAGAAAGAACCAAGGAGAGTAGACAGACAGCTAGAACAATACTTGGGAACACACAAGAGGATGGGCAAGAAATGATGACAAAGACATAATTGTTATCTACCATTTACTTACTTGTATTGGACACCGTTTTCCTTAGTGCTTACATTTACACAAAAGAAAAGTGTTATTTGTTTTCGTGAGGAATAACCAACCATAGATCATCAATGTTCACTGGGGGACAGTGGGGAAGGGGGTAGGAGTAATACAGTTCTCAATAAAGATGTGCTTTAAAAGTATTTTAATTTTAAATCTAATATCTTTGAATCGTGATGTATATTTTTGGTAAGTTGTATATTATAACTTTTGAAAATTCAATCATAAGAAAACATTTGACCAAATTTATGATCACACATTTAAAAGAAGAGCTACTGTTCTATTTACATACTTGTGGGTTGGGTATATCACACATCCAGGTTGGGTAACCCATAGGTATATAAATTTCATGTAGAAATATATATGTGTATATACCTGTTAATGAAACATGAAGTGTTGTCCCCGAGATACTTTGAAGCATAAGGAAATCATAGTATAAACATCTAGGTAGTTAGCAACACAGAAATTAGAATTTTTGACCATTACAAAGAGAACTTTTACATTTTATTATTTATTTATTTTGGAAATAGCATCTTGCTATTTAGGCCTGGCAGGCCTCATGGTAATTCTCCTGCCTCAGTTTCCCAAGTCATGTGCCACCATATCTCTCAATATATATTTTAAATAGGTAATATTACTTATAAGATTTAAGATTCTATGGAGAAGTTGAAACCTAACTTAAGAGAAATTAAGCCTTATTTTAGAGTGTCAAGAGTATATTTGCTTATTGTTTTAAAATGTAATAAAAATAGAAGTCAACTTGAGAGTATGTAAGAGGTACATGGCACTTTAAAAAACCTATCTTGAGATTTGCTGTTTGAAACTGGGGAGTCTTTAGTCATATGGTACAGTATTGAGAAACTGTCTGCCCGCTCCTGAGTTACCAAAGGATGGGCTATGTTTGAACGGAGCTTTTCCCTACATTTGGAAAGGCATATGCATACGATGCAAACATCCAGGTTGGGTAACCCACAAAGACTTTGTTATCTGATTGCCACAGTTGAGACGCTCAACCACTTCTTGTGATTCCATGTTTGTAAAGCAGAAGCAAATTGTTGGTGTGAGAGTTTTACAGGCTTGCTGCATAAGTACAATCTCTCTCTCTCTCTCTCTCTCTCTCTCTCTCTCTCTCTCTCTCTCTCTCTCTGTTCACCACAATGGCCTGGGAAGGAAAGGGGGAGGGAATTCATATGCCATTCACAGCAGTTTGATGTCCGTCTTAGCGTATAACTAAGGATGACGGATGATAATGCTTGTATAGGAAAGGAAGACGTATAACTAATGATAACGGGACTGTGTTGGGACAAAGTGAAGTGAACTCCCTTACTCTCCTCTAACTGCATCCTCTATCCCCAGAATCTACATGGTGTTGGTTCCCTCCCTGCTCCACACAGGCACCCCTGAGAAGGGATGCCTCCTCTTGAGCCATCTAAATGAGACAGTATCTGTGAGTGCTTTCATGGAGTCGGTCCAGGGAAACGAAAGCCTCTTCAGCGACCTGGTGGTTTCCAAGGACTTATTCCAGTGTGTCTCCTTCACAGTGAGTGCAGCCCCTTGGCTTGTGTACACTTGACTCAGTTAGGGAGTACTCCAGTATTACCAAGCTGAAGCATTGGGAAACTGGGTGGAGGCAGCAGGGCTGGGGACTGGGGTGTTCAATAAAGGATTCGAAGGAGGCCACCAAGTGTAGATTCAGAATCAACTCATCAGCTTCACGTCAATATTATAGGCATACTGAAAATAAATTCAATGGTCAAAAAGTTCCATTAGTCTAAAAAAAATCCAACAGCATGCAGTAGAGAACAGGGAAATGTGACTTTTACTTAAAATCAAAATTATTTTTTAAAGTTTATAAAGCAAACTAGGTCAAGGATAATCATAAGCCACCACCTATACCCTGGACATGCGTCCAAAGTCTCTTCAGAGCTGGATGCATGGGGGATACTTGTAAGCTAGTATTAACAAATACTTCCTTTTTTCCATAGTGTTAAGACCCCAAAGACCTGCATCTACAATGTCCTGTTAGTGTGTAACTACTTGATCAAATGCAGTGTATAACTGAATCCAGACTTCACTGTTTTCCAAACAAATCAAGACGAGATTCTCAGTCACAACTTTTCTTATTAGTGTGTCTTCTCTACCCTTATGCTTGGGTCTTCCCATTTGTAAAATGTCAGAATTCCTGCCTATGCCAACTCCCCGGATGAGAACAAAGGGGTGTAATTAAGCAAAACGAGCAAGATCTCCGTAGAGACGTAGAGCAGGGAGAGAAGGAGGCTGGAGAGACTCACTGGGCTTCAGACTCCCTTCCATATTTCAGGTCGCACAGTCTTTGTCCAATGAGGTGATGTTCCTTACTGTCCAAGTAAAAGGACCAACTCATGAATTCAGGAAGCGGAGCACGGTGCTGATTAAGAATAACGAGAGTCTCATCTTTGTCCAGACTGACAAACCCATCTACAAAGCAGGGCAGACAGGTATGGTGAGGTCCACAGACAGAACAGCATCAAAAAGGCAACTCCTCTCCCTCTGCCTGTTCCCTATAAGACGGGTCAGGGGCTCATCAAAGTATTTCTATTTCAGTGAAATTTCGTGTTGTCTCATTGGATGAAAATTTTCGCCCCCTTAATGAATTGGTAAGTCTCCTATTATTTACATAAAATCTTTGTTATTTGTATCAACGGGCTATGATTCTGCTTGGGTTATTGAGCAAGCTTTGGATAACACTAACAGTGATTTCTCACATTGCAATAGTTCAGGGTCTTCATTTAAAACACTATCCCATGTCAAGCAGTAGGGAACACGTTCTGCCGTGACCTGGCACTCGGTTGCTTGTCAGTTTCTAACACACTCTTCAGTTTCTAACTAGGAAGAGTAAGAAAATAAACAATGGACAACTGTCCAAAAATCTAAGTTCAAATATTTCTTAGAGTTTTAAATCTTTTTCAAACACACCAAAGTCTCTGCTATGGAAGAAGTTGGGAGTATTAAATTTATTCCTTTGTGAGAAGTCACAACTCTTTCTACCACAATGTGGGCATCAGACCAATCCTCCATTCTCAATTGAATTTTCCTCTACATCTTCCCATCTTAAAAAGAATCAATTGTCCTTTAATTCCAAGACAAAAGGAAATGCCATGACCCCAACTTCTCTGTCTCTCACACCTACATCTACTTCACACAAAATCATGTTGACTCAGAAAAAATACCTTGTCTCACTATCTGAAATGTTACAACTTGGCCAACATCGGTAAGCAAGACCATTGCAGTAACCTTGATATTTGTCTCTCAGCTTCTGCTTTTACTTTACCTAAAATTAAATATGATAGCTGCCATTCTGTCAAGTTAATGTGTATGTGTAATATATATGTGACAAGCATAATACATTTCAAACCTTATACATAGGATATGATTTTTTTTGTGTGTGTTTTCTGTCCATTCTTTTAGAATGAGGACAGGCATATTGTTCTTTTCTATTCTGCTATGTTCTCAGCATCTAGAATGACAACAGCATATAAGTACATATATAATAAATATTAGTTTTATAAGTGAATAAATGTGTGTGGTAGAGGAGCTATTTCCATCCTTTCTCATTTTTAGAAGTACCTAACGATGAATATTAATAATTGGGATCAAGAGTCATTACTTCCAGCACCATGTATTTAATTTTCAGTCTGTAAAGTTGCGTAGGAAGGGAATGTTCTTGACAAAGATGCTACAGTTTTTAGATAATATTAGTAAGCCCTATTCCTAACAATAGCTCACAATATATATCCATTGTCCATGGCTACTAAGTTCTTTTTTTAAGTGTATTTTTAATAATTTATTTATTCTTATTTTATGTACATTGGTCTTTTGCCTGCATGTATGTCTGTATGAGGGTGTCAGATCTTGGAGTTAAAGACAGTTGTTAGCTACCATGTGGGTGCTGGGAATTGAATCCAGGTCCTCTGGAAGAGCAATAAGTGATCTTAACCACTGAGCCATCTCTCCAGCTGAGGTACTGAATTCTTAACATCACCTATTAATTGCTTGAAATGAATAAATTAAAACTTGGGTAAAATTTAATTTGGTAGAATAAATATACAGATATTTGTGTGTGTGTGTGTGTGTGTGTGTGTGTGTGTGTGTTTGTGTGTGTGTGTGTGTGTGTGTGTGTTGAGTTATTCCACATATTTGAGAACATTATACAATTCTTTCTTTTCTTTCAGATTCCTATACTGTACGTTCAGGTAAGAAGCAACATGAATAGTCCACTATCAAGGGGAAAGCAGTTATTTCAGAAACCTTCTTTGCGGACTTCTTATAATCATATGCTGGAGACTTTGGGAAAGGGAAAAGCCCCCAGCCCACCAAGAAATGGATGGCTGAAACTCACCTGCCCTCTGACCCTTGCCATTTACCCTCTTTATGATAACAGGGAAGCTTCCATAGATTTCTTTCATAATATCTGATGTTCTCTGCACTTCAATGAATTATATTTAATTTATTATAGGACCCCAAAGGAAATCGCATTATACAATGGCAGAATTCCAAGTTAGAAGGTGGCCTCAAACAGTTTTCCTTCCCCCTCACCTCAGAGCCCGCTCTGGGCTTCTACAAGGTGGTGATGCGGACAGAAACAGGCAGGACGGTAGAACACCCCTTCTCTGTGGAGGAATTTGGTATGGATTGTGGAAAATCATGGAATGTTGTCTTTCATAACTGAGATGTCTAGAGCTCCTAGTTTGAGTTCATTTCGATTCCTTTTGTTTCCTGTGGATAATTTTTGGCTTAGAGTAGAATCGATTAGATCTAAGTTCAATGGGGCATCAGTGCTTGGTGAATAAAATTTAGTTTGATTGTTTGTAGCAATGCTGCATGACCAAAATAAAATACTGTTTCAGTAGTGAGAGGGGGAGGGAGGAAGGGAAGGAAAGTGAAGAGAAAAGAGAAGGGGGGAAAGGGAGAGGAAGAGAGGGAGACTGCCATAGTTCCTTAATCAAAATCTTTACTTGAAAATGAAGTAAGTGTGGATTAATTGAAGAATGGAGTTACCTTTACATAATACCAGTATGTCCCTAGGGAATTGCTACAAAGAACTAGGAAACATTAAAGCCTTCCAATCTGAAGAGCAACATTAACCTCCTTTATTGTGGTTCACAGTGCTTCCCAAGTTTGAAGTGAAAGTGGAGGTGCCGGAGATAATCACTATCCTGGACAAAGAGATTAATGTGTCTGTGTGTGGCATGTGAGTCCATCAAATCAACAGCAACAACTCTTTGACGCAGATTCACCATTTCAGATGCTTTGGCTGATTTCCCCAGGAACAGGGGCAACGCGGGAACTCTAAGCCCCTTGGGAGGGTTCCCAACTGTAGGACATTCTTCTCCTGTTCCTTTTTTGTGTTTTCTTATGTTCCTTTACATCGTCTCTGTCAGCATTTCTATAACTATTGTGAGGTAGGGACCATTTGTCGAGAGGCCACGTGGCTGGGATTGACTCTGAAAATGAGAAAGCTGAACACACACACACACATGCACGCACGCACGCACGCACGCACGCACGCACGCACGCACGCACGCACGCACACGCGAACGCACGCACCCATGAGCGCAAGTGTGCTGAAGGATACTGGCTTTCCCTTAGCCATAAGTGATACCAATACACTAGGGAGGAAGAAAAATAATGCAAGCTTGTAGAGGGATTTCAGTCAGCAACAGGTCACTTACTTGACCTTGCAAATAATGGGTAAGAGAGTGGATTCAGAATCAAGATGATACATAACTCACCAGGCTACTTTAGGCTGTCACCTCCTTCTCCCACTGCCATTTTCACAGAGTGACTGAACACGTTCTTTCAGGATGATCCTTTTGAATCCAGAAATGTCTGAAGGACCTTGGGCCCCCAAGAGACCTGTAGTGGCAGTAGCAGAACAGGAAGCAAAAAGACCAGCACTGGGCTGGAGAGATGGCTCAGAGGTTAAGAGCACTGACTGCTCTTCCAGAGGTCCTGAGTTCAATTCCCAGCAACCACATGGTGGCTCACAGCCATCCGTAATGAGATCTGGTGCCCTCTTCTGATGTGGAAATATACATGGAAACAGAATGTTGTATACATAATAAATAAAATCTTAAAAAAAAAAAAAGACAAGCGCTGCTGTGAGGTCGTACACGTGGCATACATACTGTCTGCTCCTTGGGGTCATGGCCACCTAGTCCCCTGTAACTGCTGAGCAATGTCTTGCACACAGAGGCAGTGGATGTTTCAGATTTCCAAATAGGGAAGGAAACAAAGCAATCACATGGGACATTAATGCCACAACCCTATTTCTTTCATTAAAAAGTAACAAACATACAAACATAAACAGAGAGATTTACACCGAGGACACATTTTGATAGTCTGGATTCTTAAGTCTTTTTGATAATGTTTGCAGTTTCTATTAAGTTTATTGTGTGTATGTTGGTATTACTTTTCTCTTAAGAATGTGACGTTACGGGCTGGAGAGATGGCTCAGCAGTTAAGAGCACTGGCTGTTCGTTCTTCCAGAGGTCCTGAGTTCAATTCCCAGCAACCATATGGTGGCTTACAACCATCTGTGATGAGATCTGGTGCCCTCTTCTGGCCTGTAGGGAAACATGCAGACAAAATACTGTATACAGAATACATAAATGAATTAAAAAAAAAAGAATGTGACATTTACACACCCTCTCTCACTTGTGGGTCCTAGCTTGTAATGTTCACATGAGTGCATGCAAGTAGGAATGGATACGGGCACACATTATGAGACTAGGAGACCATGAGAAGGAAAAAGAGAGATAGAATATGTGTGGCATAAAAGTGCAGAGGAAAGATGAAGGGAATGAGCAAGAAAAGTCCAGGGAGAATTAAAGAATGCTATTTGAAAATGTCATAATGAAACCTAATAGTGTGTATCCTAATCTAATTTTTCAACAAAACAATCTATTTAGCCTTTGTAGCAAAAAACCACAAAAAAAAACAAACAAAAAAAACCTTTTAAAAGACTATACTGAAAATTTAAAGTTAAAAGCTGAGTATGGTGCAATATGCCTATAATTTCAACACAATGGGAACTGAGGCAGGCGGATGGTTGAGTTCAAGGCTATCCTCGGATATAAAGCTATCTCAAAATAAAATTTATGATAAAAAAATCAAGATTAAAAGAAAAAACTGACAAAAGAAGAGTGAAGTGAGCTCCAGTGCATGGCATGGAGGTTTTCTGAGTCCAGTCAGCTTGTCAACTTCTGGTGTGTAATGAATGATCTCAGCACTTGGCAGAAAGAAACACTGAGAACAGACATGTTGTACTTGATGGGGATTTACAGAAGAAATCAATAGGGGGTGTCCGGTGCTTGCTTTGAGTCATTTGGTAACGTTCTCATGGCAGATACACCTACGGGAAGCCTGTTACGGGACATGTGACTGTGAACATTTGTAGAAAGTACAGTCATCCTTCTACCTGCTTTGGTGAAGAGTCATTGGCTTTCTGTGAGAAATTCTGTCACCAGGTAGGCTCAGAGCTGTGCCTTGTGGGAGCTAACAACAAACACATTGTTAATAGCAACATAGTGCTAAGCCAGGGGCAAATTCTATAATACCTTTAAGAAACTTTAAAAAAAATGGCTTAGCTAAAAATAATTGCTTGTCTTTTGTGATTGCCCAATGTGCATGTTCCAGAATAACATGTCAAGCCATCCAAAGCCTTGCCAGGTATCTTCTGTAAAAGGAGACTCGCCATATATCTTTTAAATCACCTTGACCTGAAGGGTATCAGTTCTATTTTCTTTCTAGAAGCAAGAACTCATTACAACCTCCCTGCCAGGGAGGTGAGATAGTCATCAGATAAATGACCAGTTAGCAGATGTCTGCCATAGCTGGGACCCAGCATTTGGAGAAATGTTGGCTCTTTTGGAGTAAGATTACACAAACCATTAGCATATTTCTCAGTCATTCTTTCTAGGCAATGGCAGGCAGTGAGGAATTATATCTGTTAATTATACACAAGATATCATATAAAATTGTGGGTAATGCCCTGGACAGTGCATAATATGTCATAATATTATACAAAATGCCTAGATTATTTTATCATTCCTCCTAAATTCTGCCAGATTAACCAACTATTCATCTCTCCAGTATAATATGCGTTATGTTTTTGTGTTTTATCTTTTCACTTACTAGCTAGACAGCCAGGGCTGCTTCTTGAAGCTACTGGAAACCAAGAATTTCCAACTAAAGAGGCAAGAGTATGAGATGCAGCTTGAAGTGAACACCAAGATCAAAGACGAAGAAACAGGTTGTGTGTTGCATGGGTGTGGGAGAAGAAATGACATTGATTTCTTGTTTGGGCCAAATTATGAACTGTAAGGAAAGAGGTAATGATATAAGACATTCACAGACATCGGCCTTCAACAAAAGAACATCTCTGCTTCTGTTTCAGGTTTGGAAGCAACTGGAAAAGGGTCCATTAAAGTCACAAGAACCTTAACCAATCTGACATTTGTGAACATGGATTCATATTTCAGACAAGGGATCCCATTTGATGGACAGGTGGAGTATTTTTCAATTCATCAAGCCATGTGCTATCAGAATTCACAGCGTGGGTACAATGTCTGCTAAAATTTGCTAGTGCTGTCAATCAATGTAGCCAAAGGGGGAAAATATATAATCAAATATCTGTTAGCTAACCAAAAGTTGTGATTTACAAAAAATGGATGCTTTTATCTTAAAGTTGAATAGAAGTCCCTACAACTATCCCAAAGGCTTATCAAGTTGATGAGGTTTTTAAAATCATTTTTAGAATAGCATTGTTTAAAATCAGTAAGTCTTTTCATGGACTACCTACAGATTTTTATGACATTATCCCTTAAGCCTGTCGAAATTCATAATGACAAATCATGTCATCCTTCTGACATTGACTATGTGGAAATGGATATGCAGGTCATTTTTCCTTCACGTCAGGGTTTTTCATAAATATTATATTACTATCAGTATTCTGTAAGAACAAATATGTACTTTTAAACAGCCCTAAATGCGGAGATAAAACACTGAGGTTTCCAGCAGTTTGTAATGGCATTCCCTACAGACCTGCAACAACTTTCCATTAGGATTTTTCTGTTGTAAGCAGATGTGCAAATGACCTTTGTGACTCCAGAAGTCTGAGGTGACAGTTGTGTCCACCTCAGTGTGTAACTACTGTGTATCATGTTTTTAATAAAAAGGTTGCTTCACTGTGGTGGCTGTGAAAGACAGGACTAGACTTAAATGAAATAGAGTACATTGTGGAAAGTTCAGTTATGTTATGGTTGCAGAACATATTCAGAAACTTTACCCACTTCCTAAAACCAAAGTGTAGTCCATTTAAAATTTTCTCAGAAGTATATTACAATGTCTCTAATTTAATGCTGAGAAATTACTTTATTATCTGTCAGAAGACTCTTTACAATGACAAAAGAGTGAAGTTGTGTGCCCATTCTTGTGTTTGCATGTGAAGCTGACATTTTCTTGATAAACCTATATTTGATTGCTAGGAATACTGATATATGTCAGCCTGTTTTGTTTTTTGCTACAAAATATATGAGACAAGTGATATGTCAATTATCCTGATCTCATCATTATCACTGCTTGGATATGTACTGAAATTTCACATTGGACTTTATAAATATGTACTATGTGTTAATTAAAAATAAATAAACTCACTTCAAAGTAGGGTTGGAGAGATGGCTTAGCCATTAAAGGCTGGGTTCACAACAAAATAATTTCAAAGTAGCTTACAGTAAAAAAAAAAAGTCACCAACTTTATAATAGGGACTGGGTTGTTTATCTAACTGTCTGTCTGTCTGTCTGTCTGTCTGTCTATCTATCTATCTATCTATCATCTGTCTCTTACCTACCTATCCATTTATTTATTTTGCCGAGTTCATTATTAACAACTGTTAGGTTTTAAAACCTGATATCATGCTGTGTGCCTCCTCAAGTTTACATGTGTGCTATGGGAAGCACATCAAGTCTGCCCATTTTCCAGAAGGCTGACCATCTAAGATGAGAAGCAGGTGCATACATATGTCAGCTGGAGAAGCACTTGGGACCTGTAGTACAATTCTTCGCTTGCATACTTAATGCCATGCCATAACATTAAGCCATAGGAAGTTCTCTTGTCTACCACAAGATAAGAGTCTGAGGCTCAATTTTTTGACTACTGAACTAAACTTTCTATCACTATGTAACTCTTGTTCTCCACAACTCCCTGAAAGTTATGTAGCATACAGTCTTTGCGAATGAGCCACAATGCATCTGCCATGTCACTAAGAACTCGAAGATCTTCTGCTTTGTATCACCTCACGCTCTTATTTTTCTTCCTAGGCTTGGTTACTACTCCCTAAGTTTGCATTAGTGGTGTTTATTTAGCATCTGTCTCTTTTTACCACCCTATAACGCCTTGATGGTAGCACAGTGCCTGGCATTGTGTGCATGCCACACCTAGGGACAGACTTTTACTTTTAATCTGCAGGTGCTCTTTATAGATGGGAAAGGCAACCCTATCCCACACGAAACGATCCTCATCGAAGCAAATGAAGCAAACTATCACATAAATGCTACCACTGATAAGAACGGCCTGGTGCAGTTCTCCATTGACACCAGAGGCGTTATGGGTGCCTCCCTCACTATCAGGGTGAGTGTGGAAAGGGGTGACATGCATAAGCCTTGAAAATGAAATTGCAACCTAAGGGATGAAATCTCCAAATCATGATTTAGTCCTATGGAGAGAAAATACCCTATGACTTAACAACTTAAGGTTAGCTTTAATGGTTTTAATAAGAAAGAAATGTTGTGACTAAATATGGGTGCTCGGTTTTGCCAGATGGTGCATACACTGTGAAAAATATTGTGCCACTTTCTCAAGATAATAAAATAAAAACAACTGGAGTATCTATAAAATTTAACAGTCTTACCACTGGGCATTAGTGTTCACCCTGCTGCCCAGTTGCAAGACCAGAGCTAATGATAACATAAAGTATATTTTTAAAAGCTAGGAGAAAATGTTTTAACCATAAAAAAATAATAATTTTTTTCCCCCGCTGTGTAGTCTTGGCTGTCCTGGAACTTGCTCTGACCAAGCTGGCCTCAAATTCAGATCTACCTGCCTCTGCCTCCCAAGTGCTACCCAGTCTCTCTAAAACATTTTCTTAATGTTTATGTTAACAAATAGGATATTTAATCTGATTTAAATATTATGAAATTCAGAACTATAGAATACATTCATCACATATCTAAGTCAGGCTAGAAAGGATATCAGCTTATTCTCCAACTCAGCTCTAGCCAGTGATTTTTGCAGTTATTTTCTCAAATCCATAAGGTTACACTATTTCATTTATTCATAAACCCACCTGGAACTAATGAACAAAGATGCGACTAATTTGTGAATTAGTTACTGGTGTTTACTCTCTCTGATGAGGTTCTGTAACTACGGTGTCAGTCTGCTTGGCAAAGGAGCAAAGGACTTCAAGCCAACTAACCTGCAAGACACATAGCTCATGGTATCCCCTTCGGATGTATACATATCAAACTCAGGGTGTTCTGTGGTGCAAAGTCACAACTGTGCCTATATTTAAGGCAGATAAAATAAGGTTCTTTCTTTCTTCTTCTGTAGAGGAAAAGACTTCTAGCTACTAGTTAAGGAGGGGTGGTAAACTTACAGAGCATTGTAAAGACAATGGTTCCTGACAAACTATCTAATGAAGTAACATTGGTTTTCTAATTCTGTAGGCCAAATACAAGGATAACCATATCTGTTATGGATTCAGATGGTTGACAGGAGAGAATGTGGAGGCACGGTACACCGCCAACGCAGTTTTCTCGCCAAGCAAAAGCTTTGTGCGCCTGGAACCCGTGGCTACTAAACTGTCCTGTGACACTACACTGCAGGTCCAGACGCATTATATTCTCAACGGAGAGGCAGTGCAGGAGCTGAAGGAGCTGATCTTCCATTACCTGGTGAGAAGGGCGCTTACTGCGTTACTGCCTACAGATAAAGCGCTCTGGGGACATCATGGCTTTCACTTCCTTTGAAAGCTTATGATTTTTATGTATACATGTAGCTGTGGCTGTGTCATGCGTGTGAGTGGCCGGGGAGACCGCAACTACAGCTGGAGTTCCAGGGTGTTGTGAGCTGTCCGCTCTGTGTGCTGGGGACTGAATCCGCATCCTTTAGAAGAACAGCATCCCTCTTGACTGCTGAGCCATCTACCCCGGCCCCTGGTTTCTTACTCTTGTTTCTTCCTAAAAATCCGACTTCTCCCGGGGCTGATCATTTCCAGCACGGGCTCAATAAGACAAGCGTGTAGAATGGAAGCTAGGATAAGATCTCTGTTGGAAAGTTTCCACTTCCCTGTTTTTCAGATAATGTCAAAGGGAGGCATTATCAGATCGGGGACTCACGAGCTGCCTGTGGTGCAAGGAGAGAGTGAGTATGGGTTATCCCCACAGTTCTACTCCACGCTGACTACCCGGCCTCATCACCTGTCAGGGATGCTTCCAAAGGGTCTCTTTTCTATTTAGTCACAAGAAAGAGGAAGTCAGGGAGGAATACAATGTCCTCTTTGTCGATCTTCTCCCCCCCCAGTATATTTTGCTTAGGTTACTTAAGCTATTGATAGAGTCATGAGAATACTGTAGTTATTTCAGAATTTCTAGCCAGAAATATTTATGGACTCTTCTCAATGTGAAGAACATTATAAATGGAGATGGGGAAAACTTTGGATGCTTCTACTTAGCAGGATTTTCACTAAGCTGTCTCCCTACACATTCCTTCTGTGTGTGTGTGTGTGTGTGTGTGTGTGTGTGTGTGTGTGTTTCTCCCCTGAACTTAGTAGTGTTTTACCAGAGTTCAGCTGGGCATTTCTACCATGGAATAGAATTCTGCTCAGGAATAATAGACTAAGAAACATCTGAAGGTTCCCCTGTGTGATGGGGTCTAGAAAACTATGAATGAGCACCTACTTAGCTCTGGGTGCCAAAATGTTGGCACTGCAGTGGACTGAGGAACACTTAATACAGACACTACAGTGTCCATAGGCATCAGAGCTGGCTTCTGTGGGAGTGTAGACTTTCTCTTCTGAAGAAAAGGACAAAACCTCCGCTCCCTGATGTAGCATTTGAGGCTCGTGTCAGCCAGCTAAAGCTCAAAAGTGAAGAGAAAGAGGTGTATGATTTATGCAGGAGAGAGGATTTTGTGTAATTGCCTTCTCCAGAGCCAGGGTTCTACAAGGTAGCCATGCATTTGTTATGTGCACTGTCCATTGTGTTCACTAATAGGAGCAGTCACTGGCCAGGCCAGTGGCCCAGACTAGCTCTGTGTGATAAAGTAACTCTCATTTTCACTCTGAATGTGTCTAATTCATGCTTGCTGCGTCTCCTCTCTGCTCCAGCGAAAGGCCATTTCTCCATTCTCATCTCCGTGGATCCAGACCTCGCCCCTGTGGCTCGACTACTCCTTTATATCATTCTGCCTGATGGCGAAGTAGTTGCAGATACCGTCAAATATGAGATCGGGGACTGTCTGTTCAACAAGGTGGGTGCTTCCTATAATAAAACCTCAACATTTGTAACTAGCTGTCCCTGGTGTTAGCTGTTCTCTTACACATGGGTGGAGGAAGGGTTAGGTGAATGTCCCAGCAGAGTCACATTAAGAAATCATGACATCGCCTTATTTTTAAAATTCTCTGTGTAACATTGACTGTTAGCAGATAGCCCAGCTCCCAGTGCCTTTCTCTCTGTGGTGGAATATTAGGAAATATGCAAGCGAGTCTAAAGGCCACATGAAGCACCAGTAAAAATGCTTAGATTTTTTTGTAGTTCACAAATCCAGAGTTAATGAGCACTCACTGTAATTAGAGATACTTTAGAAGTATTGTAGCATGAATAATTAAACTCAGAAACAGATATTGGGGTTCAAGCTGAAGATCAAAAAAGCAAAGCTCAGACCAAAGGGATGATCCACTGAACTTCAGATTTCATCTCCAGACTGCACTGCTCTCCACCAGGCCTCTGAATCCTATACTGCTATGCTCTCCTCAGCGTGGCTGGAGACTAATTGCCTAAGACTGACTTTGCTTCTTCCTCATATACCTCTTTAGTGCTGGGATTAAAGGCGTGAGCTCTGTTTCTCTTTTAGACTGATTTACTCATGTGTAGCCCTGGGTGACCTTGAACTCACAGAGATCCATCTGCCTGTCTCCTGAGTCTTGGGATTAAAGGTATGTGCTGCCACTGCCCAGCTTCCATGGCTGTCTAGTGTGGCTGGCTTTGCATTCTTATCTCCAGTGGCTTTATTAGATCATAAACAATATAGCACCACAAAGTATCTTTAGAGACCATTACAATAGTCTAACTAATGGTGAGAATCAAAGCAAATTCCAAGGCGGGGAAAGAGCCTCACTCAAGTAGCATAACACCAACCACTGTGAAAGCAACCAAAGCTATTACATGCTGGAGGTGAGGAACACCTGCAAAATATAAGGGCTACCCGTAGGAATACAGAAATTGGTTTTTCTGACCTTTCTTTCCAATATGCCAGGTGAATATGAGCTTCAGTACAAAGAAAGGTCTTCCAGGCACTCGTACCTTCCTTAGTGTTACAGCTTCTCCGCATTCCCTCTGTGCTCTGCGAGCTGTGGACCAAAGTGTGCCGCTTACGAAGCCCGAGGCTGAGCTCTCTGCATCCTTGGTAAGTCCCTGTCGGCCCTGGAGATGAAAGACAGCCATTTCAGGGCCTTGATGCAAGGAGAAATGGTTGAGTGATGTAAGACCTATTGAAGCTATAGTGACATTGAGGGAAGAGAAAGAATATGATCAAAATAGATTAATTACATGAAATTCCCAAAGAATAAATAAAAGCACAAGAACACAACTATAGTTCCCTATAGGTTGATAGTTCTGAACTCTTTGGCAGGCACTTTGCTTCATGAGGAAGATGCTTGCTTCCACACATTCTCTCCTATTTCTCCTTCCCTCTCACACCACTAGCTTCTGCAGGTGAAAAAAAATGATGCAAGTATTTTGCTTAGTTTGGTGAACCAGAGAAGCAATATTTTGAAAATGTAAAAACAATACAAATTATCCAGAAAGACATTTGATTCAAGCATCAATGTCATGTCTTGCTCCAGATCACATGATGATATAAACCCAGCTGGGACTGTGTTGAGTCACTGAGCTTAGCAGTACTAGCCAGGGGTAGTGGAGGGTAACAGCCCAGACTAAAGATGTGCTACAAGAGAGGTCTGGATGTGTGAAATGAAAAAGGTTTATTTCTTATTGTAGAACCTGGAAAGTCATGATAAAGTATACTTACGTGCAAAGAGCATAGAGTGCCCGGAACCCATAACTCTGCAAAATCAATAATATATGTTTTCAAACCAGTTTTAAACATCTTGGAAAGCCTAATGAGGGCCAGTACTCCATGAAGTGGGCCTGGGTGATCTATCTGCTGACACCAAGGCTTCACGAACTCAATGATATTTCAGATTTCTATTTTCATGAGAATGGTGTTCAGTAAAATAAGGAATGTCACAAAGTGACCATCATTACCTACAAAAGAGATACGCCGATGAATAAAAATTGAGAAAACAAATCACTGTATGATAAGTGACCCTGAGAATTAAATACTTGAGATTATAGAACTGCTGAAGGACACGATGGAAGGGTACACCATTACCTATGACTACTTACCAGGATGTACTAATTGTAGTTTATTCAAGGGTTCCCATTTCCAGTATGGGACCAACGGGAATGTGTTCTTGTTGAAGCTTGATGAAAGCTTACAAAAGGAAATAATAGGTTTTTACTTTGATAATGATATGAGTGTAAGTGTTGGCAAGAAGGCTCAATGAATAAAGGAGTTTGCTGCCAAGCCTGACAGTTTGAATTCAGTCCCCAGAACCCACATGGTTGGAAGGACAGAATCACTCTCACAGGTTGCTCTCTGACTTACACACACACACACACACACACACACACACACACACACTTTAAAAAGGACAGGGTGGTGGCACACACCTTTAATCCCAGAATTTAGGAGGCAAAGGCAGGAGGATCTCTGTGAGTTCAAGGTCAGCCTGGACTATACAGCAAATTCCAGGACAACCTGAACTGCCTAGAGAGACTCTGTCTCAAACAAGATTTTAAAAAGGAAGTAGAAGTATGAGAAAACATAACTTATTGGCCTTTAAATATTTACCTTGTATTATTGTTGTGCATTTACGATGTGGGTGTGGGTGTGAGTGCTACAGTGTAGATCACTGGGGAGCTCAGAGAACAACTTTCAAGTGTCAACGCTGTCCTTGCACAGTGTGCTTGGGACTGAACTCAGGTCCTCGGGATTGCATGGCAGACACAGCTGCTGAAACATCTCATCACCGTCCACACTGCTTGGTCTTTTCAAGTGATATTCCAATAGAAAATGTTAAAATATATATCTAAAGTACATATTAAGTACATTTCAATAAGCAGAAAAATAACATTGTTTTGTGTATGTATAATGTAATTTTTGTTCTTGTCAGAGCTTGATGGATAGAGAGTAAACAGTCCAGCAATTCTGTAATTGTGAAGCAGAGTGTTCAGGCATTTGTAACGGGACATGAGCTCCTTTCAACCCTTTGTTAGTATTTTGCTAATAATACCAGTTTCACCTGGTAGTCATTCACCAAACACGTCCTTAACACCTACTGTGTTTGGGGCTATACAAGTACCGGGACCTACTTGTGAGCTATGGAAAGTCAGATATTTGTGTCTTATAGAATTTACATTTTTGCAATTGAAATGGACAATATATGTTTCGGAGAAAAATGAAGCAGGGGAGGAAAATTGTGGGGACAGGGCTGAGGAGGAAGGAGGTGCTTGTGAGGATCACCACATGCTCCCAGTCTGGTCTTTCCAGGTCATGGTCTATTTTCCCTTAACGGCACATCTGTGCATCTGTCAGCACTTCATGTCAGTCTTACTTCTCTCCCCTGAATGGACTGAAGGCATCGTGTCAAGAACTTCAGGGGTCAGCACTTAGGGACTGTCTGACGATCTGAGCATTTGTATCTGGATAAAAGCTTAGGAGGAAGCTTTGTCCCCCCACCCCATGGAGGGTGTTTATAGTACTTGTTCTATCTGGGGCACGTGCCCTTTATTCTATGCAGAATCAGTTGCTAACTACAAGGTAGTGACAGAACTATCACTTCGTTCCTTCTTCCCAAATTGTTGTGGCACTCACAGCACAACTCAATCTCTCATTAAGGCTTCATCTCCTTTTAGCATCGAGTAAAGTGCTTGCTGTTGAATGGTGTAAACAAGTATGATGACCCTCAATTAATTAAATAGGGAAGTACATTAGTTTTGTTTTCTTCTAAGACAGTTAAACATCTTCAAAATGAAAATGCATTGTGATATAAAAAACCACACGTAAAATGATTTCTGTTGAGTAAGAAAATGTTCCACATTTCAGTGCTTGAGGGAAGGCTGGTGCTGCTGTTCTTGGATGCTGTTTGTTTGTTTAATAAAAGGCCAACAGTAAGTTAGTTCTATGGCTTGCATTTCTTTAGGTTTATGATCTGCTCCCAGTGAAAGACCTCACTGGCTTCCCTGAGGGTGCAGATCTGGAGGAAGAAGACAGCAAAGACTGTATTAAGAAAAACAGCTTGTACGTTAACGGCATCTTGTATTCGCCAGTGTTGCATACAAATGAAGCAGACATGTATGGCCTCCTAAAGGTAAACTCCCTACCACAGAGACAGTTCTGAAAGTTCTTAATGCATCCTGTGTGGAAAAGTTAGTTGCTTCAAGGCCTTCTAGTCACGGTCGGAACTAACAGAGTAAAGGGATAGAATGATTTCTCTGAGGTCGCCAGCAGGAGCAGAACTGCCAAACACAGGGGAATCAGGGTCAGAAGTTTTAATGCTTAATGACATTTTCCTTTTATTGAAATTCATTGCTTTGTGATATTTATAGATTTCACATATAAAATTACTGCTGTTGGGTGATTTTATGGGACAAATTTATATGAACACCACAGTCGTGCTAACATTTCTGCTTCAGATGCAAACGTGGGAAGTTTAATTCAGACAAAAGGAGGTGTGTATGGCTATGCACTGATCAGCTGATCATCTCCTTTGTAGGATATGGGGTTGAAGGTATTCACCAATTCAGATATCCGTAAACCTAAAGTCTGTGGACAGAACAAAGGCGGAAAAAGAGGTTAGTGCCGAAAATACTGCACCAAATAAGATAAAATTTTTAAAAAATAAAATGTGACCAAAATTAACAAAAGACTTGATTCAGACATATTAAGGCCATTGCATGATGTTCATAACAAAATAAGTCCAAATCTGATACTGTTACCCCTCCACCACAGTGGCCTAAGAGAACTGCAGATCCAGTGCAGGCACAAAGTAAAGAAAGGATGGCCTCTGAGGAGTCAGGAAATCAGGCACCAAGAACCGGTCTTTGCCAACAGAGATGAGGGGGGTGAAGGGAAAGGAATGGTTTCCATGAGTTTAACTATGAAAACAGTGTTAGTTGTTCACAAAGCGGGGCTTCATTCTCCCAGTCAAGCAAAGACGCTCTTCAATGGCCCTAAAGTATCAGTGAAGACTCCTCCCTGTTTTCAGTGATAGAAGCTGTTCCTTTGCTGAATCATAGTAGGCAGCGTGGATTTAGTGTTATATTGTTAACTAGTGATTGGCCGTGTTAAGTGTGAAGAAAGGAAAGTCTAGGAAAACATTCCATGAGAATCTATTTTCTATGTGGTATTTGCTGCAAAGAATCGGGTATTTTTATTGTAGAGCCCTTTATTATTAAGATTTGTAGGAAGCTAATATATCTGTCATCTGCCTGTGTATCCACTGTCTATCAATATGTCCATTTGTGTACATTTCCATAAAGGGAGTGGCTGTCACAGTATGACTGGCATTCTGACTCACTATGGAGTATAGATAGAGTTTTTCTAGCTTGGATTCCTCTATTGGTGTAAACTGTTTCTAAAAACCATTACCATCTTTTTCTTTTCTTTTCTCCCATAGGGGAACATGTCAATGGCAACCTAGGCTTCTGCCCTCCCCCACACCCAACACCCTAGGTCTCTTCATTTGGCACAATGGGCAGTAGCTTCCTGGGATTCCATGAGGCCTCCTCTTTTGCACACAGTCCAAGGCTTTCTGTGCTTGGGATTTTCTTCCCCTGGTTCAGTTTGTTCTAATGCCTCAGAATTCAGCTGAAACGCCACTTCCTTCCAGAGGCCTTCTTGACTGCCCTTTCCTGACTGCTCCCACCTCACCCCCCTGATCTTTCGGTGGCAGCATTTTGGTAGCACACCATCTCCTGAACTCAATCTTTGTATTTATTACCTCTGTTTTCTCTGTCCTACCACAGTACCAGCTGCTTACCGATTCTTAAGCCAAAGCCCCATGGAGGACTTTCTAGAGGCTTCTCAGTCTCCCATGGAGACTATACGGAAATACTTCCCTGAGACGTGGATCTGGGACTTGGTGGTCTTGGAGTAAGTAACTTATTTTTTTTTTTAAGGATTGCAGAAATACAGATACCTGACAGTTTTTAACCTTTAGTGAGTTTTCCCTTTTTAATATATATATTTAGGATTGCTTCACACAGTGTTTCACTTTCACTGTAAAAGCATCAAAAACGGTTGAGCAATGTAGAATCTCCTAGGCTAAATTGATTTCTAAGTATTTATTCCACCATAAATGGTAATATTGTCTTTATTTCTTTCCCAGATAGCTTGTCACTGGTACAGAAATGCACACATACTTTCATGTATTAATTTCAAATCAACAGCATTGCTGAGTTTATTTATTAGTTCTAACAGTCTTATTTATTTTTTAAAAGACTTTGGAGATTTTCTTCATTTGGGATGAGATAACCTGTAAACAGGGATAATCTTCATCCTTTCCAACTTGGATACTCTTGACTTCTTTTTCCTCTCTAGATATTCTCAACAGTACTCAGTCGAACAAGAGTGGGAATGGGATCCTTATCTTGTGCTGGATCTTACAGGCAAAGCTTTGGGGTTTTCTCCACTGGTTATAATGCCAGTGACATTCGTGAGCAGTCTGCATTAAATGGAGAAAATTTCCTTCTATACCTACTTTATTGAGAGTTCATATCATGAACTGATGATGTTGACTTTTTGTTCTGTACCTATTAAGATAATCATATGGGTTTTACTTTCTATTCAGCTAGTGTGGTGTGTCACACTGATTGTACTGTTTTGCATCCAGTGGTCACTACACAATCTTTTTAATGTCCCATTGGGTTCAGTTAGCTATTATTCTATTAAGGAGTGTGGTCCTTGGTTTATTTAAGATATTGGCTTATAGATTAATTTTCCTTTGGGCTTCTCATCTGACTCTGATACCTGAGTGAGGTTGGTCACTACTTCCATTTTTGGATATCTTTGAAAGGCTGATGTTAATTAATTCTTCTTTAAAGTACAGCAATTGATGAGTGAAGCCATCTAGTCAGAAAAGATACACAAAATAATTTTGTGCTTTTTAATGTTGTTGAGACTTGTTTCTTGACACAGCATATGATCTACCCTGGAGAATACCTGCTGTGTGCTTGAGAAGACATCATAGTCTGTTATTTTCCCTGAAAGTTCTATATATGTCTATTTGGTTGATTGTTTTTTAAGTTTATTATTCCTTCATGGAATTTGTCTGTACATTGTGGCTGTGGTTGAACATGGGGTATTGGGATCTCCCAGTATTTAAGAGGCACTTCAACAGCTAGCCAAGCCAAAGATTCTAGATACTTCTTGGATTTTTGTGCTTATTTGCACCATCCTGTTTGTCACTGTGGTCACCAGGAACTTAGCAATTATTAAGATCTGTCAGTGCCTTGAGATAGATGAGATGGAAACTGATCTTCTGAGACGTGGAAATTGTTTGCATGTTAAGTGTTTGTTTCTATCCCTTCATTCCTCTTGGAGAGTCCCAGAGCTGGGTTCATACTGTGCAAAGCCCAGGAGAGGGTCTGTGACAATGGCTGCATTCTTGTTCATATTGTTCCTATTTTTGAACATCCTTTCAGTCATTATGTTCAGGAGCCAGCCTTGTCCTTTTGCTTCCAGGGACAGGAGAGCTGTTGGGACACTTTGCTCTGTCTCTGGAGCCATCCAGCAGAAGGAGCATGGGCTTTTCCAATGTTATAAACGCATTAAAGACCTGGTCCCTTGGGGGAAAACAGTGTCACCGAGTATGTGGTCAAACTTACTCCAGGACAAAACTAGGCACTGGCCACAAGTGCACATCTGTTGCATGTCTTCTCTTTGTTCTCCATGGTGTCAGAGTCCTGGAGAATCAAACACCTTCTCTTCCCTGAGGTGGGTGACTTAGGAGGCAGACCAGACTCTTGGACAGAACTACAAAAGTTGAGATGCTTGATGCGTTGACAAATTCCTTCCAGGAAAAGCCAGAAACTGATTTTTGTCACTGAAGCAAAAACCTTGGGTAGAATAGCGGGAATTTTCCACCTTTCTCTTTGGACTCTTAGTGGTCTTCTGTGTGACCTCCCCCTCTCTAAAGTGGGCTAATAGGGAGTCCAACTATCTGAGAGCAATGAGGCTAAATGACTCTCTTCTAGGAGAAACTAAAAACTCTTCTCTCAATTTTCAGTTCCCAGCTTTAAGTCCCATCACTGTTTTCAGGAAAAGTTACCATGTCACCTATATTTTTTTGAATCAGAAGCAAGACTTTTTGGAAATTTTTAACTGTAAGATTCTAGAAAATGGGTATAAGGACCAAATGGAAGCAAGAACAGTACATATTTAAAAAAAAAAAAAAAGATATGCCCCTTTACTGATTAGAAAGCGAAAGTTAAGCTTTGAATAATTCTAGCCAAACAAACACAATTAGTAGCAGAAGTAAAATCTATAGGCCCACCCTAGTGGGATCAGATTTTGTAACAGAAATTGAGAAAAATACCAGTTGCATGCACAGTTTATAATTATGTCTTTCTGTAAGAGATTAGCTCAAATAATCAAGAGACAATTTTAAATTGGACTTAATTGTAAACAGAAGAAAATCTCACCATTTTGCCACTGAGAGTCTTGCTTTGCTCTTCAATTACCGATATTTCTACTGAGTTCATTTAAGCCATGACCACAGAATGATTTATAGGGCTTTCTTCCTGAAGGAGATTTATTTAGATGATCACTTCCTTTACTTCATATCCCACCCCTTGCAGCTCCACAGGAAGGGGTGAAAAGGAAGTGATAACACCTGGCGCCATCACTGAGTGGAAGGCTGGAGCCTTCTGCTTGTCCAATGACACTGGACTTGGCCTCTCTCCTGTGGTATCTTTCCGAGCCTTCCAGCCCTTCTTCGTGACGCTCACGATGCCCTACTCTGTGATCCGTGGAGAAACCTTCACACTCAAGGCCACTGTGCTGAATTTCCTCCGAAAGTGCATCCGGGTAGAGATTTACTTCCTCAATTGAGCTCAAGCAGATTAAAAGAAAGTCTCATTCTTAGAAATACCCCCAAGAAAGTTAAAAAAAGAAAAAAGTAAACCCATCCCTTTTCTACAAATACGATCAATAGAAGAAGCTATCATACATGTATTCATATTTTATGAAAGTGAATATCTCTAAGAATCAACCTGCAAAGATAAGTTTCTGACATTAACCACAAATCTTCAAGGTTAGGTCATTTTTAGAGTAGAAAGATTTCTTGCACCAGCAAGAATCATGCTTTAGTGTTTGTAGATCCAGCTCCTGCATTCTTATATGTTTATTCTTCTTAATGAATTCATTATACATAATTTCATTTAGAATGTTGTTTGTGTACATCTCTCCTCTGTCAAAACCATAACTTCATATAGACTTTTATGGAGTGACTGAGCCAGGGAATAGTCACGATTCCAAGTCCCAGAGATAGCGCTCACCCAGGCAACATTCCTTCTCTGTCTTTCTTCTGGCTTCACCACTTAAAAGACCAAGCAATACTCCAAGTGCTGAGATTTCTCTGTGAGGTGCTAATAAATGTACCATAGCACTGCATCTTTATTTGTCTTGTTAATGCCAGGCAACATGAAATCTAACCATCTCCAAGTATGCTTCAGGCTAAACTTGGTCTCCTACCTTTAATCTTGCTTCTTGTATGTTTCCAGGTTGCTGTGCACCTGGAGGCTTCTCCAAATTACCTAACTGCCCCGATGGAGAGGAGACAAAGGTCTCACTGCATCTGTATGAAGCAGCGTCAAACTGTGTCCTGGATAGTAACCCCTAAGACATTAGGTAAGTAGCAGAGTCCCAGAGGATCGGCAATCACAGCTGGAGCAGTGCTCCTTTCCCCAAAGACCTCCAGGCAGGGGAACTGTTTCTCTTTGACTTTCATTCCAGAATGCCAAGCACTGCCAGGTTTCCTGGTGCACACCTGCAATTCAGCACTTAGAAGACTGAGACAGGGTCAACCATGAGCTCAAGGCTACTCAGGGTCAATCATGAGTTCAAGGCCAGTCTTGCCCACATAATGGAGTCCTGTCACAAATAAAACACTAGCCACAGCAAAAGAAGGTTACCTTATCATGTAAGATAAGGGTGTAAGAATCTCACTTGCTCACCTCTAACTCTGGTGGATGTTGCTTCCATTTCTACTCCCGTGTTTTTATTAATCTAAAGCAAACCCTTATAAATTCTGAGTTTGGAATTGTGGGGAAAGGGGAAATGTGCTCATCTCTACTTGGCTTTTTTTTTTCCTACTAGGATATGTGAGTTTCATTGTGAGTACAGAGGCACTCAACTCTCAGGAGCTCTGTGGGAATGAAGTCCCAAAGGTCCCTGAAACTGGAAAGAAAGACACAATCATCAAGTCCCTGTTGGTGGAAGTAAGTAACCCTACCTACCCGAGAGGACACACTGAGTCACCAAAGAGTGAAATTCTTAGGTTTTCAACTCAACTCTTCAATTTCTTCTTCTAATGTTGAATGATGCACAGTCTGCAATAAGGTTTATAATAACATAAATATGTAGGTACTGTAGTAACAATAATAACATGGTTTCACAAAATTTTCATCTCTCCACCCATCATCTGTCTATCTAATCTATCTATCTCCTACCTACCACCATTCTTTTCTATCCCTTGAATTTCATTAATCTTCATTCATTTGCTTTTCTATCAACCCATCTATTTCATATACTTAGAACGAATAGAATTTATTTATCTCGTGTATCAAATCTGTCTCTTCACTGTTAGGGACTCTGCGGTCCCTGAGTAAACAACACACATATCCTGAAGGTCAATGCATTTCGTCCCCACTTTTCTGTCTTTTACCTACAGGCTGAAGGTCTAGAGAATGAAGTGACAATCAACAGTCTGCACTGTCCAATGGGTAAGCCTCAGCCATTATCGTTAACCTCACTGTGACTAAGACTTGTATAACATTTGAAATTCAAAGATTGTTTTTCCATTCTCTGTGGGATAAAACCTGAAATGTCATCAACACATATGACAGATGAGTTAGAAAGCAGTTCCTAAAAAGGTCAGTGTATGGTGGTGCATGCCTATAGTCTCAGCACTTGGGATGCCAAGGCAGGGGAACCAAAACAAACAAACAAACAAACAAACAAACAACTCTCATTACAACAAGAGAATTCTTCAAGGAGCTATTTCTTCTTGTGTTCAGACTAATATCTGGTTCCTTGGCACCAATTTTTGAAGAGATTATCCTTTTCTCACTGCATTCATTGAGAATTGTCTATACACATGTGGATTCATTTCTAATGTCTCTATACCTTTCCAGTGGTCTCTCTATGTGTATTTTGATGTAAATATCATGTGATTTTAATTATGTCAGTTTTGTAACATGCTTAGGTACAGTGTAAAGTACAGTGTAAAGCCTGGAGTTCTGCTATTTTTGCTTGTGATTGCCTTTGCTGTTTTATTGCTCCCACATCTATTTTAAGGTTTCCTTTTCAATTTCTATGAAAAACGGTCATGAAATTTTGAAAGAGTTGTATTAAATCTATAGATTAATTTGGGTCACACAAGCATTTTTACAATTGATGACACATGGGATATCTTTCCATTTATCGGTTTAATTTTTAATTTCTTTCAACACTCCATACTTCCCAGCATGTCTTTTTTTAAATCTCTTGTCTTAAATTTATTCCTACACATTCTCCCCAAAGCAACTATAAATGGGATTTTTTATTTAGATTTCCTGTAGATTTTGAGATTTGTTTTTATTTTAAATGTATGAGTGTTTTGTCTGCATGTGTATGTGTGATGCTCATGGAGGCCAGAAGAGAGCGTTGGTGCTCCGGAGACTGGAGTTAGAGATGTTCCTGAGCCACCATGTGGGTGCTGGGAATCAAACCCAGGTCCTCTGGAAGAGCAGCCAGTGCTCTTAACCACTGAGCCATCTCTCCAGCCCCTATTTCAATATCTTTTTCAGATCATTCATTGTTAGAACAATAATGCTGCTGGTTTTTGTGTGTTGATTCTGTGCCCTGAATTCTAAGATGTTCACTTACATCTTAGAATGACTTTACGGGGGAGATTTCCTGCTATCATCACAACAGAATGATAATTTTACTTCTTCCTTTATGGTTTGGATGATTTTCTTTCTTTCCTTGTCTGATTGCTCTTGGCAATTCCAGCACTATAAGTAGAAGTGGAAAAAGCAGGGTGTCCCATATCTTGTTTCAGATCATAGAGGAAAGGTTTCCAAGTTTTCTCTGTTGAGTGAGTGTTGCCTTTGTTGTGTTAAGGTATATTCCTCTATACCTAATTTGGTGAGGGTTTTAATCAGGAAAGCATTTTGAATTTTATTCAATTACTTTTCTCCATGTAATGAAACAATAATACTTTCATTCCCCATTTTGTCACTGTGGTATAACATTGACTGGCCCATGGTGAACCACTCTTGCAGCCAAGGGACCAATCCCAATTGATCATAGTGTATAATCCTTTAAGTGTGGCATTGGATTTAGTTTGCTGTTACATTGCTGATTGTTGTCACACCTGTGTTAGTAAAGGTATTTGCCTGCAATTTTCTTTTCTTGTAATGCCTTTGTCCGGTAAGGCTAATCTCACAAAAATTATTTGCAACTATTCCTTCTTTAATGTTTTTGAAGATGGAAGATTGGGGTTATTTCTTTAGACAATTGATTGAATTCGTCGGTACAGTCAATCAGGTTCTAGACTTTTCTTTAAGGGAGATTTTAATACCAGGTCAGTATTCTGATTCATTTTTGATCTGTTAAGATTTCCTATTTCTTTTTGATGAAGTCTTAATTGGTTGCAGATATCCTGAATTGTGCCCATTCCTTCTAAATTATATGACTTGTGCTGCATAAGTGTGTTATTTCTGCCAGTTTGTGGTAGCTCATCTTGTTCCAGTTGCTTAGGAGGAATGTTAGTCACTTACTTGAGAACTTGCTTCCGATTGGGTAATGGCCAATTAATAGTATGCATTTTTCCTCTTAGAACTGCTTTGTCTGTGACCCATAGGTTTGGCTATTTTGTGTTTCCCTTTTCATTGGTCCCATTATGTTTTTAATTGGATATCAATTTCTTCATTGATACACTGGTTCTTCAGGTGCTGGTTGCATAATTTCTACATATTCATGATTTTTCCAAGATTCTCCCTTTTATCTCATGACATGCTTCCAAAAAGTGATGCCATATTGTTTAATCCTAATGTGCGATCTACCCCAATAGTGTTTTATGAACTTCAGAAGAATGGGTGGTCAGGAAGAGGTGAGTCTTCCCAGAAAAGAGCCTTAGATCCTCCTCTAGCTGCCTAGACTCCTGCAGGTGGTCAGCTTTCCCTTTCAGCTGCTTCCCCAGTGTGAGCCCCAGGAATGGTTGTTTTTTGAAAGGTCATTAGGATTATTTACCCCTCCTGTCCTCTGTACTCTATTCTACCCTCCACTCCTGACCCCAGTTTAACCTTTCCTGTTGCACTATTCCTCTTAACCCTCACCAGGGCAGCTTAATCTCCCCGCCCTTGAACATCCCTCCTCATGGCTCCCTTAGTAATTTCTTGATGTCTATGGTTATTCCAAATGAAACACCCGTTATGAAGATTCAAAGCTAGTATCCATAGATGAGAGAAGACATGTGACATTTGTCTTTCCGGATCTTGACGGCTTCACTCAGAGTGACTGTCTCCAACTTCATGCATTCTACCTCAGATTTTCATTTTAAATAGTTCACTAATGTTCCACTGTGTAAATGTACCACTTTTCATTATCCATTCGTCAGTTGATGGGCATCTAGGTTGTTTCCATTTCCTGCATATTGTGAGTAGAGCAGCAATGAACATGGATGAACAAGTATCTCCAGAGTAGGACTCTATGGAATCTTTTTAGTATATACCCAAGAGTGGTACAGCTGAATCATATGGTAGATCTGTTTTTAGCTTTTTTGAGGAACCTCCACAGTGGTTGGACCAGTTTGCATTTCTACAGGCAGTGCAGAAGTGATCTCTCTTCCCGGCATCCATTTTAGCATTTGCCATTATTTGTGTTTCTTATCTTTGCCATTCTAAATGAGGTAAAATGAAATCTCAAAGTAGACTTATTGTTGTACCTATAGATCAGTGCATCTCTCAACCTTCGTGAGAGAAGCTTATTTTTGCAGTAGATGGAGACTAACACAGAGACCCACAGCTGGCCAGAGTGAAGGGGAACATGTATACTAAACCACCTCCTAAATCCCAGCGATCATTGTGGAGGAGAGGACAGAAAAAAGTGTAAGTGCCAGAGGTGGCAAATGACTACAGGGAAACAGTATCACAGCAGAGCAGCGGACCAAGTAGGGCAGCTGCATGTATGAACTCACACCATGCACAAAACCTTGTGTAAGCCCACAACAGAACCAAATCCCAGCTTGGTAAAGGTTTCGGCACATGAGTCCACCCCTAGCTGTCAAGCATATGGCAGTTTTTAGCTAGAGAGAGAGAGAGAGAGAGAGAGAGAGAGAGAGAGAGTTTTCTTTAAGAGTATAGCCCCTAGAAAGTCAACCACACTCTAGTGGAAGACCACAGATACAAAAATACTTGAACAGAACAAATTGGTACTGAAGCAGCCAGGTGGGAGGGTGGTGGGGGCGCCAAGCTGGGAAGGCAGATCAGGGAAGAGCTGGAAGTGTATGAATATGATCAAAATATGTTATATGAAATTCTCAAAAAACTAATTTTTTTAAAACTAGCAAATGTTTGCAATGTGAGTATGTATACGCACACACACACACACACACACACACACACACACACACACACACAATTTAATGAAGGGAATTTGAGACAGGAAGATGGGGGCCAGCAAGGAATAAAGAAAAGCTTAGCCAAGAAAATCTGAGAAATATATTCCATTTGGTAATCAAAACCCTCATATCCTGACCACATAAATATAATTTATGAGCATTGCTCCCCATTCCATAAAGAAGAGTGGAGTTCTACTGTCCTCTATGGAATATTCTGCAGTTGTCTGTTAGGTCTAAGTTAGAGTGCTGCTTAAGTCCAGTGAGTGTTTTATTTGTTTTCTCCCTGGAAGACCTATCCACACTTTAAAGTTGGGTGTTGAGGTCCCCCTCAATTACTGCATTAAAACAAGTATCCCATTATTGTATTATAGCTTGTATTGCTTCAGATCCTTTAATATTTGCTCTGTCTATGAACTCTGGTTGGAAGTACTTGTATATTTACAAGTGTTATTTTTCTCTTAAATAACAAGTCTTTGATTCTTTTCACGTATTTCTTGTTTGTTTGTTTTTCAAGACAGGGTTTCTCTGTACTACTTTGGAGCCTACCCTAGCACTCACTCTGTAGACCAGGCTGGCCTCGAACTCACAGAGATCCATCTGCCTCTACCTCCCAAATGCTGGGATTAAAGGCATGTGCCACCAAAGCCTGGCCTTTTCACATATTCTTAATTAAATTTATTTAACTCAATAGAAGTGCCATTATCCCCATTCTTTTTGCTTCCATGTGTGTCCTGAAAAAGTGATTGTGTTGCAGCACCACAAAGTTAGGTCTTGTTTTCATCTTTTCATTTATTCTCTGTCTTTATACTGGAGACTGATTGATCCCTTTACATTCGAGGTGGTTATTGACAGGCAAGGCTGTTTCCAAACGTTAACATTTCCTGGTTGTGTAGATGCTTCATTTCTCCCCGTCTGCTGTCTTCTTTCCTGGTCTGATGTTTTTCTGCAGTGTTGTTTTTAACCCTTTTTCATTTTGATTTGTGTTTCTACTAAAGTTCTTCTTTTTAGCTGCCATAGGGCTTAAAGCATCTTTCCTAGAGCAATCTGTCTCGAGGCATCTTCCTCTGAATCTGTGTGATCTAGCTGTGATATTGCCCTGAAGTTTTCTGTGACTTGGGACCATGGTGGGCTCTCTGGAAAACAACTCCCTTAGAAGGCCAAGTGGGATGGATGACTGTCTCTGGTTGTCTTTTCTCCCTGTACAAGCTGTGGGCTTGGGGAGATCTCTGTCAAGCGTTGTGCTAACTTGGCGAAAGCAGAAGTGGAGTGATTAAAATGGCATTGTCTTTACCCTTCTGGTTTGGGTTCTTTTCAGTTGTGGGCCACCCCCCGAGTGTTTCTAAGATTGTTTCTGTATAATGAGAATTTCCAAACATGCTCTAGTCCCTGGAAAGATTCTGGCTGAACCTTGCAGGGGAAACAGTGGGGCTTCATAGTTCCTATTTCATCTTATTTCTCTCTAGTCTCAGTTTCAGTAGAAAATGCACCTCCTTATCATGACTGTGTTCATCCTTCCATCAGTATACATTTCCAAAATGTATGCCCAGCGTCATTATTTATCTCCATTGCTTACAAATGTTGTCAACATTTTGGATTAAAATCATTGTGAAGCTGTCTTGACTCATGGTAAGTGAAGCTGAACTTAGCTTTTGTTTGTTTGTTTGTTTGTCAGGGCTCGTTTATAAAACTCCATCATATCATCTGATCACATGTGTTGACTACTTTGTCTTTTTTGACCTGAGTTAATACAGATTATTTGAGGGACACACTGTGTTCTCTTTCACCGTTAGCTGTGACATCTGACTTCTTATGTAGCTCAGCACTAATTTTATGAGAAAGAGATGACTAATACCACAGTTCTGTCATTTTCCTCTGCATCTGTTCTATGAAGATTAAAATGGCGGTATATATTTATTCATCAATCAATATTACTTTTTTAAGCAAGTTAAAATGTTTTCAATTGATACTACTTTATTTTAAGCGAGTCAAACTATTTCCTTCCACTTGGTTACTTTTATTTTATGTTTGCTTAGAGTATTTGTTTTCTTGCAAAAATTTTGACATTAACTTTATGAAAAGGATACATAGGAAATAACTATTATACTTTTCTATTTTATCTTTATTATAGTGATAATTTTATGTTTAATTAGTCAGGTACTATTCCTTACTTCTATTTCTTACTCCATTAAAATATACTTTATTCATATCTAAAAGAAAGAACACGATATTGTTGTAGAATTTAGGTTTCTTATGGAGTTTTTCTTTGCTTATTTATACACGCAAATCTCTGTTGGATTTTCCCTTCTCACAATTATTGAGAGAGGAGTTGTGAAGGTGAGTGCTTAAAATGGGTCCTCTTGTCACATCACTGGTCACCAGGCAGGCTGTGGGTTGACTGTGACAGAACCTCTGTTTCAGATTCACTGACTTCTTGCCTCTTTTGGAAATGCTACTTGACATCGAGGGAAAACATTTGGTTTGGGATGAAATTCTGAAAACCTCCAAGTCCCAAAAGCCCCTAACATCAGAACAAAAACTGTTTTATTGCCGGGCGTTGGTGGCGCACGCCTCTAATCCCAGCACTTGGAAGGCAGAGGCAGGTGGATCTCTGTAGTTCAAGGTCAGCCTGATCTACAGAGCCAGTTCCAGGACAGCCTCCAAAGCCACAGAGAAACCCTGTCTTGAAAAAACCAAAACCAAAACAAAAACCAAAAACCAAAAAGCCAAAAAACAAACAAACAAACAAAAACCAAACCTGTTTTATTTTTTTAAAAAAGGAACAACTTTTCCGAAGTAGCTTATGTATAAGGCACAGTTCTAGTTTCCTGGCCATTGACATCTCTAAAAGACACAGTGAAGAATGGTTTAAAAGATACAGTGCAAAACAGCCTTTCCTGTTGTTGATTTGCTTCTTGCCCTAGGTGCTGAGGAGTCTGAAC